ACACGCTCTGCTAATTCTTGCTAACTCAATACTTAATTTGGGTATGTGAAAATCGTAAAGAGCTTATATAAAACACGAAAACATTCGATAAACACAAAACATTTGTAAACTCCTTACAAGTCCTGCCAATAGGTGGCTTTTCCTACGATTTTCACATGCCTTCGTTTGTGTAATGCTTACGAATGGAAACTAGTTAAAGCGATAAATCGATGTTAATTCACACTAATCAATATGTTAGATCCCCACACTCTGCGAAAGGTTTTTTCTTTCCTAATACGGCTCATTTTTAATTTTAATCTAGTCGACTCTCACACACACACGTACGTACACTAACCACAACACACTTACACTGAAAGTTTTATTTGCATTTGTTGCCATTTGGCTTCGCATAAAATAATAAAAAAATATTATAATAACTAAAAACTAGAGAAACAGTCAAATTGCTTGTGTTCAGTATTATGATTTATTTATGATTTTGACTGCAATCGTGTTAAATGTCATATTTTGCCTTATTTATTTACCAATTGTTTTTCGTTATTTAATTTACGGCGTGTTGCTAACTAAGGGACAGAGGGCTAATCTCCCGAAGATGCGGAAGAACGTATATATTAATGCAAATATATATCTGTAATGTAAAAACAATTTTTATATTCGACATACATCTATTAACACTATGAATACTTGTATTAGACAACTTTTTATATAGAAACTTTTTGTATAAACTTTTTTTTATTACTCTTATGATTATTCAGAAGTTAGTTTAGTCCAAATAACTGAAGACAAAAAGAGAAAACCAAAAATGCGAAGATAAATAGACATGCTAAAACATCTAAAGGAAATTTAAATATATACAACTTATGTGCAATACTATTTCGTAAACGATTCAAGCGTATTATTAAATACCAAATATATAAACAACTTAAAAAAAAGATATGTATCTGTACAAACATAAAGTATACAAGATAATTGCAATCGTATTACCAAAGTAGTCAAATATTACCGATCCCCAATGGTTCCCCAACTTTCAACTAATTGGCATGCATTTTTTGACATGCGAACGGTGCTTGAAGTTCGCGTTTGGTTCTCTCCCCCAGAATCCTATGAAAAAATCAAATGGAATATCTAGACTTAGGGCAATACTTACGGAAAATTATCAAAATGTAAAACGAGCAAAATTATTTTGTAAATTATACGCGTTAAGGGACGAGACAAAATTTGCTACGGTGCATGCAAACAATACGATATTTTTTCTATACTACCAACAAAAGTACTAAAGATCTAATTTAAATTGATAAACCAAAAACGTGAAAGGCCAAGTCGCTTTGGACTTCAATGGTATATTATTAAACGATAGTCAAATCTATTAGCAAATTTTTGCTCGCGCTTTCTTTACAAGACAACCAAAAAAAGCAAAACGAAATTCAAGTCATGCAAAGTTGTAACTCAAGTTGATCGCGTGGCACTTTCAAAGAAAAACAAGTTTATAGCAATTTTTCTAGAATTTTTATATTACAATGAACTAATGAATATGTATCATATATATACTACATATATATTTTTAAAACTGCAAAACAAATTAATTAGAGGACTCGGAGCGTTCGTTTGTTTTCGTTTTAAAATTTTTTATTTTTAAATACTTACCGAAATATGTAACGTGTATTAAAAGCGAAAGAATCTACACAAAACGAAAACCAACAAGCCCAATTAAATATTATATCAATACAGCAGCCTGCTCTATGTAGTGTTAAACAATTTGTGCAAATATGTAAGCAAACGCGTTGTTCTAAAACTTTCAAAGTAATTAAATGCTAGTCTTTAAAAAGGCAAAATCTGTTACAAAGCAAACACGAAACGGAAACGGTAATCGGTTAGCGGTAAACGGCGATCGGTCAATGGCTATCGATAACTGTGCGTAATGATGGTGTTTTTTAAACGTAGTAAAATTTAATATTTTATAGATTTTTATACTTTTATATAACATATACTTTATACTTTACCTGTTTAACGAAAACTTGATGAAAATGTTGAAAAAAACCAAAAAACTTTAAATGTGCTATAAAAGAAGTAACTTATCAAACAAATATTTTACTATACCAAAAAGTTGATAGAGATGAAAACTCTTTACGGCAAACCGCTCAATGTTTTTGCTGCTAACGGCGTAGGAATCTGGAAACTTGTGTAGCGTGCTATATAATATTATATCTATAAGCAATCTGTTTTGTTTATATTCTGTTTTATTTTGTTTCCCCGATTATTCCAAAAAGGTAAAATAATTAAGCAAAGACATTTAATTTATCCTGCTTCTGAGCTTGAATTACGGATAGAAGTCGGATTGACAATTTTAGTTTTATAGAGAATCTTGTTATAGATAAATGTTTATGTTGATTTTTATATGGATCCTGTTGTTATACCGATTATGACAATGAAAATTTGTATGCCTAATTCTTAAATATATTTTTGTATCTTTTGTAGTTGCTAGTAGTTTCCTGGTAGTTTTAAAAAAACCAACTCCGTTGAGACATTTTTATACTTTGTTTATTCTTTTTATACATATACATATTTTTAATAAAATATGACGAAAAAAACAATATTTGATATATACACTTTATACAACAAAAAAGAAAAAAGAATGAAAAAAAAATCGTTTTTGAAATTAATAAACGGACATAACGTAAATTGTGTTTTATTTATTTTTATATATATCTTGTATGTACTTTTTTATAACATTGTAAATAAATACAACTTTTAACTTAGCTGAACCACAGTAATACACAAGAAATAATACGAAACACAAAACTGTTAGTACATACAATTAAATACTTAAACGATAAGAATGACTCTGAAAAGGAAAGTATTGAAATTCGAACTTATTACATACTTAAATATGTTAACTGAACATCTAAACAGCAAATTGGTCAATCTGTGTTTTTTATACCAACCAAAAAAATATGATAAAAACAATTGCATAAATATATGAAATTTACACGTAGTACAATTTAATAAAATTAAAACTCAAATAAGTGAATATTTTTGACAAACCCCAAATAAATGCTTCAAATAATTGCTAATGACGGATAAAACAAAATAAATAGAGAAATACACTTAAGTCAAACCCGGCGTAGTGCATTATGCAAAGTTAAGTGGCATTTTGATTTTGCTAGTGAAAGCTCTTATAAAATAAAATTTGCAACTGAGGTTGAAAATACTCTTCGTTTTGGGGTTGGACGCTTAACTCATGGTGTGGAGAGAGAAATTTGATTATTTTTTGAGTATTTTCATAGCACAATTTTTGTACAGTGTATGGTTTTGTAGCTAGCGAAAGAAAGTAAACCAAACGCGTTTTAAATAGAAAATTTTTTAGCCTCAACCCCTTGAGCTCCAGAACGATGTGAAAACAATTTCAATTTTACGCTAATTGGATCGAAGCTTAGATCGTCGTGAAAAATAGAATAAACTCAACAAAAGACAAGGTTATTAAAGAATATTAAAAACAACATTCGGTACCTTTTAAAATAATTAATGAATTTTATAAAACATCAAATTGATACTGAAAAATTGTAGCCTGTAAAGCGAGTGTTAGGCACCCGCACTTCCATTTTAATTTACCTTTGGTCGTGTGCGCTAAATGCAGAGTGACATATACGCCTATACATATACTTACGTCTATATATATGTATATATAATATTTAGAACTTCGAATAAACTGAAATTGAGCGCCCTTACTAATGAATTCCTTTTAGCAAAATATTCAGAAAAACCAAAAGAAACCAAGCAAAGGCATATAATTTTTTAGCATTATACAAGTGAAAATATAACTGAAAAAACAATATAAATAGTAAACAAAAAAACCAGTTGGCATAAATGAAAACTATATAGTGAATCAAATAAATATATATATGACACGTAATCTGTATGAAGCGTATAAAAACAAACTAGCGAAATATTCCATATTTTATAGTCATTTTCAATAAACGTAATTTTTTAATTTTTACAAAATTAAAGTTGGAAAAAGAATAAAAATATTTGTAGTTTTCTAAAGCCCGAAAAATCAATCTGAAGGGATAAACACTGATTAAAAATAATAATTGTAAACAGTTTCGATTTCCATGCGTGTTTTTGCTCCAGATGTTGAAGCGTTTTCAATTAAATTACCAGAAAAAAATGTTTAAAAAAGAATGTTATGAAAACCGAAACAGACCATAGATTATGACGTATGTACTAAAATAAAATAAAAAGAAATTAAAGTCAATGACGAAATACCAAAACTAAAATATATATTAGACACATACGCAAAGTTCTCCCCAAAATAAAAAAATTGAAACTGTAATAGCAAACCGAAATATCAGCAGTACTTCAATGCAATATATAAATGAAAACCAAACATGGATAACGAAATAAACGAAAACCAAACCCTAATTCCAGCAAGTCAAATATGAAATAATTAATACAAATATGTAATCCCGTATTGAGGGAAATATACATATAGGATTATATTATACACAAAATATATTCAAAACCAAAGTCGTTTTCTAAAGCGCCCCAAGCATTACACTAAACGAAAATACGAAACTCGGCGTTTATATTCGACAAAATCAAATTGGAATAACACACACAACACCCCTCACATACACACATTCTCAGTCACTGAGGCAAAAATGCAGGTTATGGAACAAGTAAATAAAACGTAAATGGCAAAAAAAAACATATATCTTCATTCAAATAAATAAAATACTTTTTCTGGAATAATAGAAAGACGGCATTTTTAATTTTGCACTAACAAAATTTGGGTAAGGGAGAAGGCTTAAGCTTTATACCTGAGTAATGGGTATCTGATAGTCGAGGTATCGCGCTCTCTTGTTTCACACATAAATCGTAGCATACTTTTTGGGGAAAAGGATTTGCTCGCACTTCTCCGTTTAGTTACTCAAAAGTGACTTGGCAAACAATGGGATCTCCCAGATTAAATAATTATTTAACCAAAAACGAACTCAAAATTTCAGATCCGGCAGCATTGAGGGTGTATCGCCCACCTCCAGCGGACCCAGTCTCATATCCGCATTGTCGGCAGCTAGCAGCGCAGGAGGAGGCTCCTCCGTGGGAGGAGCTGTCCCCGCTGGCGACAGCAGCAGTGGCGGTGGCACCTGGCGGCTGATTAAGGGAAAGGTTAGCCAAACCATCGAGGAAATCAAATCCTCCAAGCTGCCTCCCCCGACGGCACCGATACCCATTATAGTGGCCGATCCACCTTCAACTGGCTGGAGCAACGATCCCGATTCGGACACCGAGTGCCTCACCGTGAACACATCCATCAGCGAGGAGCTGCCGCTGGACCAGGAGCACAGGCAAAACTCCGATTCGGACGTGGAGGCGGAGCTGCTGCAGCACGACAACATCAGTTTGGGCAGCGTGGGGGAATTGGGAGCGGTCAGTGCAGCCACAGGCGGCCACTCGGAGCGATCCCGTCTGCGTCGCGGTCTGGCCCACATTCGATCCAAGGTGAAGGCCAAACACCAGGCGGCGGCAGCCATGAACAAGAAGGATGTCAGTCCCAGTGGAGCCACAGGGCAGCCAACGACAGTGCGTACAGGATTCTTGCGTCGCCGTCACGTGGTGGAGGCGGGCAGCGAGCCATCCACCAGCCAGCAGGCGGAGATTGCCATCGTGAGTGGCAAGGTGAAGAAGCGGGGCATTCTGCTGGCCCGCAAGGACGTGGAGATCGAGTCGGGCGTGGAGGTGCTCGAGGATATGATTCCCGCCGCTCCAATGCAGAGTGATCCGGCTAAGGAAACTGATGAGAAACGAACGGAGGATGATCTGGATGCAGGAGCAGATGCCGAGTCCCGGGCCACTCTAACCCTTCCCGTGGCGCCGGCCGTCAGTCCTTTGGCTTTTAAGCAATCGCAGAGTTCAACGCGTGACTCCCAAAAGAGCAGGCAGAGTTTCCTATCCAGCCTGAGCATGCTCAGCATTTCCCAGTGGCGGGAGAAGCATCAGGGTGCCACGGCCTTCGCCATGCCCGTGCTGCTCTCCCTCTTCCTGATCCTGCTGATGATCCTGCCGGTGCCCGACTTCCTGCGCGGCGTCTTCGCCACCCTCTTGTTCTTCACCGTGATGGATTGCTGTGGCGGTCATCTAAGGGTGCTGCTCGAGGACTTTCTGCTCACGACGCATCCCGAGCGAGTGGCCTTCGCCATTCCCAATTACAAGATCATGCCCATTTGCGAGATTCCCGCTGTCGAGGAACACAAGACGATCAAGACATATGCCGGCTGGATGAACGAGATAAATAGCTATGATCCCAATACGTTTTCATTTACTCTTACGAGAGCGGTTTATGTGCGATTGGATGGATGTATCCTCAAGATGTCGGGTACAAACGCCCGGATTCCCAAGCGACGCATGTGGAACGAGCCACCCATCGATCGTCACAAGATCCTGTTCACGGATCACCGCTCATATGATCTCAGAGACTGCCGGATAGAGCTGTTGCCTTTGGGTCTGGCCAATAAACGGTAGGTCCTGGGATTCTACATTTTTCATTCTTAATTAATTTTATATCCTTTCAGCTTCTATAATCGCAAGTATCCCATACAACTGATCATTAAGAGCACTAGGGATTTGCCCGAAGAGCAGAGCTCCGTGGAAAGCCAGTCGGATCAAACGGTCAAGCAGGATGCCAAGGAAGCCAAACCTGCTTCATCATCGGGAACCACTCCACCCGGCGGAGGAGAGGAGGAGAAGCTGGTGGACTTTGCTGGCACGGTCATGCAGGCAGATGTGAGTTCTATATACAAAGGTGGTACAAAATCCATAATTCTTTCATCCACAGTTACAGCAACTGCGAAATACTGTGAATCCGGACAAGGAGCTCAACGACATCACCGTTCCCTGCGGCGATGAGGTGCGTCTCCTGCTCTTCTCCAGATGTGACCGGGAAAAGGAGGACTGGTATCGACGCTTCACAGCCGCCAGCAAGGGCATGGTTCACGAACAAGATCTCCAGGTGCCGATGGCCCGTTTCGTGGAGGATTCTGACCTTCAGGCGGCCGCCGCCAGACAAGCATTGCACCTGGTCGGTGGGATGGGCAAGAGCGGAATGGGAGCTGTGAAGGTGAGTCATGTCTCAAAAATCCTGGAGTAAATTCTTATTATCAGATGTTAAACCATTTTCAGTGGCAGACTGAAGAGGAGATGTCTACCGGCAAGGCAAATGATGAAACCGATCAGCAAACTCCGGATGGTCAATTCGAGAATGTGACCGAGGAGGACTTGTGTGAGACGCCCAAGGAGGATACCTTCGATGGCATGATCATGAGTGCCAATGTGGCCAGAAATTCGCCGGATTATGTCCGTTTCATGGCCGTCTACCAGGTATTCGAATTGTTAACCCTTCTTCATTTTTAGTCTTTTCGTTTTGATTTATTATCATTTGTTATTTTAATTTGGCTTTTGGTAGAAAGCTTGTAATCAGAGCAATATTCCTGTTACCCGAAGTTCCGTCGGAACATTAACTTCAACTGATCGGCGCCAAAGAAAAGTATGTTTTCATTAGTTTTATTTCCTATTTATTGTAATTATTTTGGAGATCTTGGTCAAGTCAGCAGGAGTATAAGATTTATAATACTTTCAGTCTCGCCGTGCCAAACGCCAGGAAGATGAGCTGTGGAAGGGCATTGACCAGTCGCTTTTCCTCGGTCCCTCCGGCAGCATTGTGTGGGCCAATGTCCTCTTGGGCCGCTGTCTTTATAGTTGGCTACACGATGCCATGCTGCACGAGAAGCTGAAGGAGGTGCTGCAGAAAAAACTCAACTCTATTAAGGTGAGTCTTGGCCTGAGATAATTTAGCTATTCCACACTAACCATACTTTTCTTACAGCTGCCCAGTTTCATGGAGGAGGTGATCATCACAAATATTTACTTGGGTCAGTCCCCGTTACTGTGTCATCGGGTCTCCCAGCCGATGCTGGATGAGCGCGGTCTATGGGTGGATGCGGATGTGACCTACGAGGGATTGGCCCACATAACCGTGACCACCAAGCTGAATTTGCTGCGCATACGCAGCAAGACCAAGTCACCAATGGCCACCGACAATGTGCCCACCACATCGATGGCGCCGGAGCAGACGCAGGATTTGCGCAGCCATTCGGATGCGAACTCGGAGAACGTGATCTACGACAGCGATGCCGAGAGCTCGGGTGGTTCCTCCACAGAATCCGAGAGCCCACCGCCGGGAAATGCCCAAGAGAATCCGGCAGGAACTGAGTTAGTTACTAGTTATTATTTGTGATTTTTTGAGAGCACTATCTAAAGGTATATTACTCCCTGCAGATTCTTCCAGAATTCACCCGGAAATGCGCGACGGATTTTCAAGATTGTCGACCGCATAGCCGCCTCCAATTTATTTCAATATGCCACCGAGCTGCCCTATGTGCAGCGAGCCATGGAGAACATGAACGCGAACATCACCCTGCGCGTAGATCTCAAGGGTCTGGTGGCCCGTGGAACCCTGAATGTGCCCCCGCCGCCCTCGGATCGGGTGTGGGTGAGCTTCCGTGGACCACCACGCCTCTGGATATCCACCAAGCCCCAAGTGGGCGACAAATCCGTCGACTGGTCCATCGTGACCAATGTCATCGAGAGCAAATTGTGCGAGGCTGTCAACAAGTTTCTGGTCTATCCGAATATGGTGGACTTCTCGATACCGTTCCTGAGCAACCCGAATTTCGATGAGGAGCCAGCGAATGCAGCCAACTAGATACCAAAATTAAGAGGACTAGGCAGGGATAAAAGGAAAGAGATACAATTTATATCCGATGAATTTAACACAAAGTGTGAGCGAGATTTTTTACGTTACTTCTTCTTTTTAGTTTTGAGATAATCTTCAAGCTTAGCTTAGATCTGCGATCTCCAGTTCCAATTTCTACTACTTAACCGCTTATAGAGTGATGAGTAAAGGGACTACCGATTCCAAATGACAAGTTACGAAACGCTTATTTTCATCACATTCTGTTTACACTCCAGAACAATCCCAAACTTAGCTACAATAATTTACACTTATATCGAGGATGTCGAAAAGAATGGATATAGCATATTGAATATGCTGCAACAGCCGCTCTGTGAGGTCATCACGACAAGTATTCCAATAGCATAATGCAGGCCTATAGCCCTGCAACTTATCCACTATTCTATACGAACAACTACAATATACACACCTATATATATTTATATATTCCCCGTAGCGTAGTCTTAGAATGAGTGTGAATTTTAAATAAGAGAATCGAAATCTTCTCATCGATCGTCAACCATAAAACATATGTACTTAAAGCGTTTCAACTATCTTAAATACGCTGCTACAAACTGAAAGAGCGGAAACGGATCCGTATATTTTGCCAAATAAGAACAAACTATTCCCTTGGGTTCCAATTTATACAACAACTAAGAAATATCATTTACACGGTTGTTTTCCAGGCTACACAACTAAGTAAATCATTTTAGCTGCATATTATACATAAACATATATATATTTAAATGTTTTTCATAAATAAAGGATAGCAAATTGCTAGCACAAAGTGGAGTTATTATTCAATTCAAAGTTGGCGGTTGCAGTCTTGAGCTTTTTAAGCTCTCTTTAACATTCAGTTAACATGGGTTGGTAGCTTTTACTACCAGAATTTGTTCCCGGAACAAAGCTCAATGCTACAAAAACCGGAAAGAACTGTATATCCGAAAATAAAAACTCTCAAATTGATTTAATTTTCTTTATTTTAATTACTTTTTCATTCACGTTCAGAAATGTACATCTTTAAATGGGGTTTTTGCTTCGTGTCCATGGGGTATTTATCGTTTTTGTGTGTGTTTCGTTAAATGTTTTTATGCTTTCGATTTACGACTTTTCATTGCGCTGTTTCCAAAAAGTACATTAAGTAGACTACAGACATACGTGTATATAATATGCATTAATAATAGTTATATATGTATATATAGAATTCAAAAATGTACAACATTCATTTTTAACAAAAGAGCCGGGCACACGGCGTTGCATGCCCCGGCATATGTAGTTAAAAACTCGAAGATAGCCATAGCAAAAACAACTAAAGTTAGAACTTAAGGTTAGAGACTTACCAACTAATACACATACTAGTACAATGTCAATGCCATTTCGTTTATTTTTTCTTTTTTTTATCTTTTCAATCGATATTTTTGTATTTACGCATGCTAGTTTTTTAATGGGCGTAATGCTTCTTGCGGCATCCAAACTCTTGCCTCGTTAAAAGTTATCTTTCAAAATTGATTTCATGGTTCGTTCAATCTCAAAATTTTTGTGTCTTGTCTTCCGCCTTAATTTATGTGGTTTCTGTGATGTTTTTGAGTGGTTTTCGAATGCCTGATTGCATAACAAAATAATCGTAATGGACTAAGAAAAAATATAGTTACAATATTACGCATATTGCAGATTACTACTTAACAACTAAAACTGCTATCAAAACAGATTTACAAATAAATATTCCAAGTGTGAGTTTCATTCGTAAAACCTTCCTCCCCGATCTCAAAACATTGAGCAACATTTCGTGTAAGATATTCTTGAATATTATCGGTAAATGGATTATGCTGGCTATGATCTTAGCTTATTGTTAGAGTAGAGCTGTATTAAACCGTGTTGTGTTGTGTGTGTCCCGTTCCATGCGGCAAATGCATTATTTATTTTGTTGTTTCCATTGAGCACGTCGCGGTGTTCGGTAGGGCGTTGTATTCTTGGGGGAGTTCTAGGAGGGATCGTCGCTCTTCACTGTCCTGCTGTTTTGGCTCGTTCCTACGTCTACTTTGCTAACTCTGAAAACTGTCACAACATCCGCTGTCCTCGTCATCGGCGATTTACAGACGCATGTCGTTGTATTTGGCAAAGGCCTTGCACAGGGCGAAGGCCAGGATAATGAGGACCAGGTGCACAATGCCCACCGCAATGGCCACGATGATCAGTTCGCGTTGTCTAATCAGCCACTCGGTGAAGACCTCGTAGCAGCCCTATGGGTAAACAAAAGTTTTATTAAATTTTTATCCTTTTCTAAATGTTTTTTTTTTAACCCTACCTTCTTGTAGAAACTGTTGCTGTCGCTGGGATTGGTGGTACAATCCTCGTCGCGTGGCACCAACTTGGCCACATCCTTGAGGATGCAGCAGGCATCCGGAATGGTTCGGTTACCCTTGCCGCTCACCCACGCCGGTGAGGCCTCGAAGTCGCGGTAGTCATTGATGCCACAGCATCCAAAGTTGCCCATCAACTGGTTCCACATCAGTGAGGTGGCGTCCACATTCTCACCCAGCGAGTAGCTGTTGATGGTCGTCTGCAAGAAGTTTTTGCTCTCCGAACGAACCTTGTCCTTAAAGAAGGCGCCCAGTCCCCCGGCGACGATCTCGGCGATCAGCAACAGGATCAAGAAGGTTCCGTACTGGAAAGGAAGATAAGATTTAATTCAAAAACTTTTTAAGTAAGTATTAATAAACTTTTTTATGAGAATAATTATTTATTTATACATGTTCAAATTAATTCGAAGTCATGGTTATTCAAAGCAGACGTATATATCTATAATATATTTAATTAATCCTTAAAATGATTGTTTATTTGTATTATAAGAAGGTTACATAAGGTTACATTTTAATCTTAACCATTTATCGCATTTATTAATAGAGCACCTATTAGCATGAAAATTAACTTCATATCTAAATATAAAGTCGTTCATTATTACGTAATAAAAGTATTCAATGATTTCTTGTTATGGTTGCCTGGTTTATTTATAATGCTCGCTCGCGGTTGACCCAATTCGTTGGGCACTTTGTGAGCCGTGCAGAAAAATCTAGCCATTTGACCCTGAGCCAAATGTGCAGCATTTGTCGGCCTGCCGCTGGTGGTGAGTTTGGCCCAAACGCACACACACACACAGCCGCTGGAGTCCACATAGATACAGATACAAATACGGCTCAAATGGCGAGTGGGGGGATGGGCGCTTGGGGCGGATGGACGAATGGGCAGGGGAGGTCGCAGCATGCGGCACTAATGCTGAAGGTCATTTCTCGATGTTTTGTTGCATGTTTCGAAAAACGCTCTTGCGGCTTTTCATTCTACCATTCTAGTTAAGTAATGCAGATAAAAAAATAAATTTAAAATCAATGTTCAAATCTTCAAAACTACCAATAAATCGTTTGTTAAATTTAAAGTAGGGTTAAAACAATGATTTCCCATACGATTTCAACGTCTTAACCCTACTTCAAATTTAACAATCGGACGAGAAAACAGCCATAAATCTTTTCATTTAAATAAAATTTTTTAAGTGTATTTTATTAAATTTTTGGTATAACAATTATTTGTATTACTTTAGGATTCATGTTAATGAACACTTCGAATTGATGTGTTACTTTTTTAAATTATTAGTTTTTAGTAACATTAATATTATTTATTATTATTATTATTTTCTTAATAAAAACCCATTTTTAGTATATTTTTCTGAGTGCCTGGCCAATGTTGTCGCCGTCGTTGTCGTTGTGGTTGTTGCCCTGATACGCTGCTCTGATATGCTCTCGGTTTTAGCTGGTTGTGTTGCGGCTGTTACGCCTGGCAGCATTTCATTTCAGCCATCGTCGTGGGCGTTGGTGGCCGCCCGCAAATGTATCTGTCAGATACACATGCAAGCTCACCAAATTGCGGCCTATGGAGAGCAGCCCTCTTTGCAATTTTGCTTTTTTGTTTGCATGCCAAGTGTAGCGATTTGAAAGCGTTTAGGTACGCGAGTGCCTGCAGTCTTTTTACCTAAAATTACCGTCTAAAAAATCAATGCTAAGACATGTTAGCCATGCCAAGAGTCTGAGTTCGGCTGGCCTTGGGATGCGTTAACTGAACGGCCTTGGCTAATTTAAGTGCAAAACCCAAGAGGGTCGCATGCAGGTCGCGTGTTCGGCACCGCTGCGCATGCGCAAAGCCATCATCTCCCCCCTCAATTCCAAATTCCCCCCGCTTATAGCAAAGGTAAATTGAATTCACCTGTTTGTCGCTGCAATTAAGCTGGCCAAGCCCTGAAATGTGGGCGCGTCCGGGGTAAATAGTGCAGGTAAATGTGATAAAACAGTTTATTAATTACCGCAATCGCCCCGAGTGAGCACTCTCGACCGTCTAGAAAGTCCCTCTGGGCCGCTTGGTGCAAATGTAAATTATCTTCTAGCCCGAAGAAATTACAATTCCACTCACGGGCCAAGACCACAGAGACATGGCCAAGTGAAGGGCTTGTCATGGGGGCAGCCGCTTAACCAATCGTTCAAACACGCCTGGCCTCACGATAGATGTATCCATATATACATAAGTATATATGTACGATAATTTACCTATAGAAATACCCGGCTATGTACAACTTTCTCTCGAGTGCCTTCAATGGTTTTTCCAGCCAAGAGTCAAGTCAAGTCAAATGGAAATCCTCTTCAACGGCAAAGTTTTTCGGTGGAATATGCAAACAAACGCTTGGCAATCGGCCATCTCGAATCGAATCCCAGTCCCTGGGAGCTGTGAATCTTCGGTGTCTGTCTGTCATCCATTACAATGTACCCGATGATGCAAGCTCGTAAAACTCTGATTGCACTCATTGATTGGTGGGGGAAATGTAAATTTTGCGACAATGCGTTTCGGTGCTGTAAAGGAGTTGCTAGCTAATGAAAAGCAAATAAGTTTCTCCTGCAGAAATCATTGTTATTTTAAATTGATTTCTGGTTAAACTCAAATTTAATCTCTCTTGGGACTTTAGTTAAAGCTTTACAGGTATTAATTAAATTTTGGTTGTTTTAGTTATTTCTCTGATGCTTAATCTTTAACCTAGTATAAATCATTTATAACTTAATTATCTCGGCACATAATAATATTTAAAGTGTACTACAGCTCATTAAATATAAATAGAGCGCAAGCAATAACTATTTTAATGGCTGGAATAAAAAACCTTGTTTATAATAGTCTTGTTAAAATTTTGATGGGCACTTAAAATTAGTTAATATTTAACTTTTACATGTTTTAATACCTAAGGGTTTATATTAACACTTGAATGTTATTAAATTAATTTTTAGAATGACAAAATCCATAAATCTTATAAATGATTTTCAGTTTCGATCCTGACTGTCTTTGCTTCCTAACCTCTCACCCATATTCGATCTGTTCACTTACCGTCGACAGCAGACAGCGGGACTCGCGCATGGCTCCCAGATAGCCCAAGAAGCTCATGAAGAACATGACGGCCCCGATGACGAGCAGAACATAGGCCAGCTGCTCTATGGCCTGCGGCTGTGTAAATTGCTACAATAAAAACAAAGACAACAGAAACAAATAGTCAGAAATGTGTGGGTAATTGCAGATGATGTCTGCCCTGCGTATACGTAATTAAACTTTGAACTGGCCAAAAATTGTCTTCTTCCTCAATCGTGTAATTGAATTATACGCATATTTTTGTCCAATTGTCAATTGTAGGCAAATTGTAAGATCTCAGATAAATGTTTCGAAACTACACTGCAGGTTCATTGACCAACAACACAGCCCGACCCATGGAGTAATTCAACACAGAGAGTTCCTGCTAAAGCTTCTCAATTAGATTCTGCATGTTTATCCTAGGTGACCCCACAATTAGTTCCCGTGTGGACATGGACTTTTCATTTGTTTTGTCAAAGCGAAAAACCCTTTACGCCCAGTCAGATAGCAAGGGGACTTTCCACACAAACTTTAGTTAACGCTGAACATGCAACTTTTGATGGAATTTGCCCTAGTTGCAGGTTGGCTGAAAAACTTTATTTGTGTGAATTAGTTAAAAGTCCCCGTAGAGAGTGGGTGGTTCCGCTTTAAACCACGATTTGTATAATTTAAAAATTATGTTATGGTTATTGTGAAATAAAACTTAAAAAAATATTTATAAATATTTAAATTTCAGGTGAAGGTACTAATTTTTTATTCATGCTATTTTAGTTTACTATAGATTTTTCTGTAACCCCTAAATTATTTTAAGGTAAATCCTAAAGTTCCGCCTTTAAAAGCTCTCCAAAATTACTATCAATTCCATTGTATTTTCTAGTGCCTTATATAGAGTGGGTTCTGTTATTTCCACCCAATTATATAGTATCTCGGAAAACCTTCCCCTATTGTTAGTCAGTGTGTCGACACAAGGCATCGTGCACTTTGATTAGCTTTTCTGTGCCTTACTTTGACCATTTCCCCTTCCGAACACGATGTTTACTCTATAATTATATTTTTTTAATAATCATAGTTCCAGTGCCCGCTATTATTGGAGCACCTGCACGTGAGGTTGATCCATATTTCGGGGTTGATTTACTTCTACTACAAATTCGATATATGAATTACACACTTCGATGGGTTGCGTATAAATTGCGTTATAATTGGGTGGAATGCAGCGGTTTCTTGGGGCCTCTAAAGGGGGTGTTTCCGCGGCAACACTTTCACCCGGAGTTGGGCGGGGATTGGTGTTGTTATTGGTATAGGGGGATTTGGAAAACCTTACCTCGATGCGCTCGCTCTCGACCAACTTGAGGAGAGCAATCAGCGAGTGCTTGTCCACGGCCAGCCATAGTCCGATGCCGAATATAATTGTGCCTAGCACCTGCAAAATGCGATAAAAGAAAAAAAAAAACATAAATATATGTGTACAGGTAGCGCGCTTTAATGTGCTTACAGTGAAACATAAAACATAAAGCATAAAACACAAAACACAATCCTCCCGCTGGACATGCAAACGCAGTTTGATGATTGTTATTATTATGACGTTGCCTGCCCAGGTTGATTGCATTCGAAAATGCCGATGATGAGGTTCGGCAATCAAGATGATGATGATGATGATGATGACGACGACGGCTGAAAGTCAATGAACCGCCGCCGCCGAGCTGAAAATGCGGGAAAAAGCAAAAGCACCAGCGCATGCGCAGAGATTTGCTTGATTGAGTTGCAATGGAATTTGATGGGACTGGGATTCGCATTGGGATTGCGATGGTATGACATGAACGCACCTATCTCCATAGACACATCTTTAACCATATGTGTAAGCACCCACATTGCTTCATTTACTTACGAAAAATATAAAATTGAATATGCAAAGCAAATACTTTGCACACCAGACTCCGCAGTCGAAGACCATTTTCGTTGTTTTCGAAATCTTGGGGCTGTTTTCCTCCACGGAGCTCTCTCAACTGCAATGACAAAAAGAAATTCCACAATTAGCACTTCGAGTGAGGTTTCTAATTGAATTAAAATATTTTTACTTAATTTCATGTTAAGTGCCGCACACTTCGCTGGGCAGGGCATACACAAAAAGAAAGTGTCACAAAAAACCGAGCGGCATAATAACGAAATTACCAAGAAGTGTAAATAAACATGAAAAGTATTTCTAGCCGGGCTGCATTTCTTATCGGCCATGTTTGTACGTGCCCCGTGCCTAACAAATTAACATGTAAAGTTGGCCGTTAAAAATTAACGAATGAGGAAATATTTGAGATGAAAAGAAAGCTTCATTGGAATTTAATTTAATTTTTTATAATTTATAGCCTAGTCTATGTATAAAAACAACTGATAAAAATTTTTAAAAATATAGTGGGTCAGCTTTAAACAGCTGTGTTAAATGTTTAACTAAAATTAAAAGCACCTACTCCGCATTCTATTAGTTTCTATTTATATAAATGTTGTTTGATCATTTAAACAAGTTATTTAACAAGTCGAAAGTGCTATTTAAATCTTTAGTGTATGCTCAAAACACCGGCAGCCATCATCAGATATAGCGATACGTTAATTCCTAGAGCAGCTAAAAAATTGTTCAAGTAAATTACAAGCTTTCGTTCATTCATTAATTCATTGAGTCGGCGGGAATCTCGATTTCCAGCATCTCGTTCCACGTTAACTTTCTCATTAGCAGTAGAACAGCTTCCCCGTCGCTCTACCGCTTTCCCGCTTTTCCCCCCATCCCATCTTAGCACTTTTCTTTTCAGATGCTGCCGTCGTTGGCAGCTGGTTTGAGCCAAGTTCTCAGCTGTGTATGTGTGTGCGTTGTTATTTGGGTAAATATATACGTATGTACGCTGTACATATACACACAAACAATGTCACGAGCTATTGAAGTTGGAAAAGTAGAGCACTCGGCAGCGGAGCTAAGCCCTCAGTTTCTCAGTCTCTGGGTTTCTGAGTTTCGATGCTGTTCTGTTGCCAAGTCGCGGCGACGGGCAAACATTTTCCTTGCCAACATTTTTGTTCTCATTCTATTGCTGGTCCCTTTGAGCCCGGTAAAAGCACTGATCCCCATCCCCCCTGTGCACCCCTAATGATGTTTTGGCCGAAATGTAATTGTGTTCGCACACCCACATAGCCGCGGTCAAAAAAATAGCACTTAAGATGTCAAATTCCAGGTAAAACGGGTAAAATAAAGTTTATTATGGCCATGACAACCACTTTGGGCCATAAAATTAGTTAAAAGTTTGCTTATCATAAGAAATACAACTATTCTATATTTATATAATATTATTTAAATATTTATATTTTTTTTTTGGCAATTTTTTAAAAAAAGGTAAATTTCAAAAAAAATTTTAATTTAGTTGTTTTTTTTCCTGTTATTTAAAAAAATTTTTATAAAATGTTATTAAAACATTTTTAGCTATTTATCAATGTATTTTTTTAAAACTGTTTGGAATAAAAAATCTGTGAACATTTTTAGTGTGGTTGCAATGCTATTATTTCTACCTTAGGTTTTAACCCACTGAGGAACTGAATGCACGAGGTACTTGAATGCAAAGCGCTCTAGGGGCCTACATATACACATAAGCCGTCTTTATGTGGGCGCCACATCCCCCACTTTTTCCTTTTCATTCCCTTTAAAAACCCTTCAAAACAACAAAAGTTTATCTAATTTTTAATTGCTTTTCCATTGTTTTAGACGTTCCGACGTTCTGGCTTTAAATTAGTTTAAGTTTTCTGCTGATAACGCATGCAAATGACTGCCTAACGGATGTGCATACAGTGCTTAATGGTTGTGACATTGAATTTATAATATGGGCTTGGCGAAAACACCGTATTGTTTACGAATATTGACGCTTAAGTCATTTGTTTGCGAGAGGTTTAAAGTGAGAGATGTGGTATTAAAAATTTATTTTTATTTGCATTCTAATTTGAATTTTATCCCAGGGGATTTCGATTTGCATAAAGCCAAAACCGGATGGCTTGATAACAAAGCAACAAAAAAGCTTTAAAAATGCTAGAATAAATATTTGCACTGCCAACATTCTCATTTTTAAATTCCTAGTGTAATTATATTAATTTAATGAATATTTTCAACGCTTTTTCAACTCTTTTCATTTACCACCTCTTTGGAGCTTCGATTCTGATTTTATCTCGGTACGATTCAACCTTTACCCTTATCTATTCATTAATGCTGCAGTTCGACTCTGAGCTTTAATTAATTCTCCGGCTGAGTGGAAAAGCGGAAAAGCTTCCAGCAGCCACCCACTAAGCCGCCGCTGCTGGTTTCTCGTTTCTGGCTTCCGATGCCATGAGCCCATACAAAATTCAAAAGCTTGCCATTAGCACACACACTCTTGCGTATCAACATGGCTAACACACACACATGCTGAGAATACCCACCCACATGCAGGGGGCCAAATCTTGTAATTAACTTTCAAGTGGCCCCTGCTAAATATTGGCAAAAATTCAGCATGCTCAGCATCAGCATTTCATCTAACTCAAATATTAAGTCTCGAGATCTACTTTAGATACATGTGTACGCAGCCAACTCAAATATCTGATGAGGGAAACATTAAATTTCCATAAAACAAATATGAATTAGGAGGAAGCCTTTGCTAATTTTAAAAGAATTTGCTTTTATAAATTCGTTTAAACATTTTAAAATAATTCAAATATTTATAAACTCTACTACCTGTAGTTTTAGAGAGAATTCATTATAAATTAGATTATCTAAAATATGGAAATTAAAAAACAACCCACAAGTGAGTTTCTCGAATACAGGTAAAACATGCATTTTTTCCTTGTGGGCAGAGATTGATTTACATCTTGTTCAAAGCTTTTTTATATATGTAAACCCATATGTAAACCCAGTAACAAAAACAATTTAAAAACAGGCAAAAAGTCCGCAAAATAAATTGCAAATTTATGGGCTGCGCAGCTGACTTGCATTCGGATTTTGACTCGGTCTTTGTTTATTATTTGCGTAATTAAATGCTTGCACATGCTCGTACAGCATTTTTTAACCGTAGAAAGTTTTGTTTTACCGGCTGCTGTGGAAGTGGAAATGGAAATGGAAGTCTAGGGAGCCGACAGCAGAGAGCTCTCAAAACAATGCACATTTTTTTCGGCATCGCGACGGTGATTAAAGCATTTTCTATTGCAAAAAGGAAATTCGAGCGGATCTCAATTGTGGGACTGGGACTGGAGGTGATTTTCTTGTTGTACCAGCCGACTCGACTCTTTTCTTCAGCAGGTCGACGTCAAAATGGGTTAAAGAAAGTCGTAACTTGTATTAATTAAAAAAAGTCAAGGGGGAAAAAAAAGTTGATAGGAAGAAAGAGCTGGAGGCTGCGCTTGAACTAAGAGGCTGTCAAAACCTTTGGTCATAACTTTTCGACCGTAGAGATGTTATTTCCCCATTCCAATCCCCAGTTGCACTCTCACATAAACGTGTGTGTTCACACTTGTCACGTTCGCTGGCTTGCCAAGAATTTAGAAATTTTATTTATTGCCAATGCTTTCTGTTTCCCATTTTTCTCGGCTCTTCGATTCTGATTTGATTGGCTGGCTGGCTGCTGGGTCTGGAGATGAAGATGGGAAATGTGAAATAGCAATCGAGGAAAAACTCATCACGCTCGAAACCAAAAGTGCCACAGAACCGCAGAGCCACTTTTCTATCTGTCAAAGCGTGAGAAACTCCCTGTTCGCCGTTCTTCATCTTTATAGCTGCGGTCTCCCCTTCCGAAACTCCCATGATGGGTAATTAAATTATGGAGTAATAAGCCTCAATTGGGTCACCGCACTCTCCAAACAGTACTTAAATGCAGGTGGGTGGCGAGGCCTCCTCCCCTTCCCTCAAGATCTTAAGTATGCATATGAAAGTGGCTCCATGTGTGGGAACTACTTAGTTTTAAAAGGCCATACTAAGTGGAATTTTATTGCCTAAATCAGCTTAATGGTTGATCGGATGAGAGACGAACCAAATTATTCATGCATTTGATTAAAACATTATTTAAACGTTCCAGCTAGCATCTTTTAAATCAGAGAATACAAAGCTATATTTAATATTTATACTTTCCATAAACTCTACGGATTATTTCAATGACGCTATCCTAGAATATCCAACTTAATATGTTTCCTTTATTACCTTAATCTCAAATAGTTTTTCTTACTGTTTAAATTTGACGATGTATCAAATAATTTGTTTATTTATACTTCAAAATAAGTAATTTCTCGCTCAATAAATCATGATATCCAACGATGGCAATATTTATGTATTTTCATATGCAAACAAAACTAAATTGAATAAACATGTTATATAAATTGATTTTATATTCCATATTAATAAATAAAAGTATGTCTATTAAGTAATATAATTATTATTTTTTCTGGTGTGTAATAACCCCTTTTATTAATTAAGCCCAATTGTTTTCATTTATGTTTATTTCCCACTAAAAAAAAAGATTTTTCCAATCGAATAAAATCAAAGCCACTGATTTAAATGCCACCCAACTATTTGTTGTCCCTTGCAAAAAAAAGGTATAAACTTTGTTGACCCAACCATTTGCCTTTTTTCTTTGTCTCCGCTGATTGCTAAATTTGTGTCCCCTATAAAAAAGACTTTAAACCCAAACTTATCCAACTGGAATAAAAGTCCATTAATTGAGCAAAATATAGCGCAATATTGACGCTGCTGTTGTTGCTTTTGATATTTTTTCGCTGTCGCACGAGCCGCACAATCAATTTATTTATAAATTTTGCTTAATTAATGCAAATATGAGGCAAAACAAGAAAAGCCGGGCAGCAAATAACTTGGTTAGCTTTTTGAAGCGTCAAATTTTAAAATCTACATAAAGGCACAGCGGCAGAATTTACAACAGGACCCTGCCGAAATTAAACCTCGAAAGTGGTCTAATTAAATGAATCTGGCAATTCGACAGCACCTCACATAAGGCTAATTGAGTGT